AAATTTCATAATCCTTTAATATTCCAAGGAGCAAGTGGTTGTAGGCAGAGTGCTTTTCCTCACATGAGCAAGGTCCTGGTATCCGCAATCAGTGCTGTAAAATACTCATAACCTTGATTTCATATTTTCTCCAGTTCACAATACTATAGAGTCTAGACCAGTGAAAATGTGACTGGCCGGTGGTGGATGGCTTTAATCCCAGCACTTGGGAGACTTAGGAAGAGGGATCTCTTATTTGGAGGACAGCCGGGTCTATAGAGTGAGTTCCAGGGGCGGCCAGGGCTACACAAAGAAACCTAGTCTTTCTGGGGTGGAAAAATGCTCCTGAAATTTTGTGAGAACTTGCCAAAGCACACAAAGAAATGCAGCTGTTTTTGGTGATTTTTTTCCCTCTGAAACATCCATGAAAGCAAACGTTCTTGCCCTAAGTTTGGGGAACACGCACAGCCTTGCACAGGACGGCCACACTTTAGCGATTACTTAGGTAAAACCACCACAACAGCTGTGCCTAACTGGCTGTGCACAGGCAGAGAGTGGGGGGAGGGGGGATGTATAGTGTTAAGTCCCTGAGCCCTCTCCGGCCTCCCACAGCCTCCTCTACACCAGGGACGTGATTCCGGGTCCACGAAGCCATTCCACCAGGCTTTGCAGATGCTGCCCAGTGCACAAACTCAAGGGTCCCTAAACGCATGAAAAAGGCCATCCCACGTGGTGTCTCCTCCACCTGCCCCAGGGTCCCAGCAAGCGCCAATTCCCAAAGCTCCCAGGCTCAGGGTCACACACTCAGTCAAGGGAGAGGCCCTGGCTCCAGAGAGATCGCTCAAGCTACCAGGAAGGTGGGGATAATGCAAGAATCTTACCTGTTCCAGGCTGGACCATCCTGTGGTCGGATCTCAGCCCTCTGGGTGGCCTGCAACGTCCAGCAGCATGTACTCGGGGCCTCCTTCCCACTCTCCCAAATATATATATAATTTTACAATACCATTCAGTTCTACATATCAGCCATGGGTTCCCGTATTCTCCCCCCTCCCACCCCCTCATATTACCCCCAGCCTACCCTCCATTCCCACCTCCTCCAGGACAAGTCCTCCCCCCGAGGACTGCAATCAACCTTGTAGACTCATTCCAGGGAGGTCCATTCCCTTCCTCCCAGACTGAGCCAAGTGTCCCTGCATAAGCACCAGGTTTCAAACAGCCAACTCATGCAATGAGCACAGGACTTGGTCCCACTGCCTAGT